TAAAATATTAAACAATGTATATTTCAATTATCCAAATGGCCATTGCTATTACTTATCTCCAGGTGTACCAGTTGAACATATTATACTAATTTTAGTAGTATAATTACAATGCAATGTAGATAAAAATAACAGTTAAAATTAGAGTGGCAATAGTTGAGAATACAGGAACAATGACAATACTGACATTTTTAGTGACAAAATCAGAGGCTGACTTGATGATGGCTATGGCTAGATTGATTCTTTTGTAGAAACAAATTGTCAAGATTATTGTACCCAATCCAAAACACCACCAAATAATAGCTTATAATAGATATCCAGTAGGTGATAAACCAATGGTCATGCTTGATCTATTTGGATAGATATAGTTATTACGCTGCCTTATATTATAAATAACTATAATAGCCAAAGAAGATGGACAACACAACGATTATAAAGATGATGAACCAAATAACAGTTTTACTACACCACTTCAATAGGTAGGTGAATGCTAAGGTGAAGCAGATTCCCAATACAATGAATATGAATAAGGTGTACTTGGCTCCACTGATATCAGAAATCATTTGATGTAAGAAACCCATCTTCAATGCTTCCTAAACTATCTTAAATTACTCTGGATCTGTGGGAATACAGACTCTTTAATCAACTAAATACATATATATTTAATATTACATTTAATGCTGTTGTATAATGTGGCTTAACTACAGGAAGTTACTATTGAATTGACAGCACATTTTAGTTATGAATTTTGAGTAGTTCCAATGGGTGTAGTAGTGGTGGTGGGAACAGCTGCGGTAGTTGGAGGATTGTATTACAAGTGTTTGTATTTTGGAACTGTTACACTTGGACATTCTTAAACGCAGACAGTCTTCCATAAGAAATCGCTATTGAGAGTAGTGAAATAGATGAATGGATAATCTCTCAATGTGTCTATTCCACATGGTCTATCTTTATCATATTTGTTTCTAATTACGATCAGGGTCATATCCTCTGTCTATCAATAATAAATTTCCGCTTTGATTCATGTACAATCCAATTCCCAAGATACTCAACAATATGGCAGAATAGAGGACGGTGCAAAATACATTTGTGCAGGACCTTCTACTATTGTCAATTGGACCATTGGAAAGGTTAAGCAACAGATTGTTTCCATCTTATATTTACATTTATTTAATTTATGTTTGATACAGATATACCTATGGAAGAGGAAATGAGTGAAGTCGTACGATAATTTAAACCAAAGTTCAGATCCATTCACAAAACATAAATTGAAGATGATTTAAGTGAAAACACTGCAAGTTCATTGCACTAAATTGAACTATTAAGAACTGTTATAACTAAAAATGTATTTAACATTGTAAGAATACAAACCATTGATGATAGATGGATTGGTATTTAATTGAGAGATACCTACGTAACTTGTGGATGGTTACTTTCTGAAGTGATTAGGAAATTAAGTTAATTAAGATTAAATTATGATCCAGCAGACATTGTTGGATTTAAGACAAACAATATTCATTTGGATTATCACTTGAGTTGTTTGCATTACAATTTGCCTAATTTGAATGGAGTTCTTCTTATACCCTAAATTCGTTAACAATTAAAAGAGCCAATTAATCTTGATTGGTTTGAAATTATCAAGAAATTAGCAGCTGGGGGTTTCTCAGTAGTTTATCTAGTAAAGAATAAGGAGAATGGATAATTTTATGCTATGAAGGTTATTGACAAACGTTTAATGATTGAAAGAGACAAAGAAGAAATGGTATTCAACGAAAGATAAATCTTAACAAGATTGAATCATAGAAGAATAATCAATTTATATTGTGCATTCTAGTCAGTAATTCATATTTAATTATCAAAAGAAATCTAAATTGTATTTTGTATTTGATTATTGTCCAGGTGGAGAACTCTATTATCATCTTAGGAAATAGAAACGATTCAGTGAAGAATAGGCTAAGTGGTTATTCATTCAAATTTTGGATGGATTGCAATATTTGCATTCCCAGAACATTATCTATAGAGATTTAAAACCAGAGAACATATTGATTGATTAAGATGGGTGTCCCAAATTGGCTGATTTTGGACTCAGTAAAATAGTTGACAATTAAGAACAATTAAATTACTCATTTTGTGGATCCCTAGAATACATGGCTCCAGAGATGATCGAATAGAAAGGACACAATTATACATAGGATTATTATTAACTGGGTGTTATGCTCTATGAGATGATGGCAGGCATTCCTCCCTTTTATGCTAAAACGAGGTAGGACATGATCAAGAATATAGTATCAAAGTAGATTAATTATCCTCATTTCTTCTCTAAAAATCTATCAGATTTCATTACCAAGTTGTGTAATAAAGATAAAACCAAGAGATTATGTGGCAAATGTAAGTCTAAAATATATAATTAGAAATCTATTAGCATCCTTGGTTACAGGGACCCATTAAAAAGATGCCAATAAAGTATTAATGTGATCAATTCAATTTTGACAAATTGTTTATCAATCAAAAATGCTTGGATATTGAGAGTGGACCCAGATGTATTGCTGAAGAGTTCAATTTATTGACGTTATCTTAGTCAAGAGGTATTCGGGATGAAGAAATGTGTCCCTTTGAAAAATTCTCTAGTTTTTATTACAAAAAATGATGTTATATAATAAATGATTGTTATAATTTAAAATTAATATGCAAGATAGTTAAAACTTGAAGGACTTGCAAGTTCAATTAACTAAATTCATCAGCAGATTAGAGGAACTGGAGAGGGAGAACAAGTACTTGAAGGAACATGTGTTGAATCAATAATACTAATTGGTGTAGAATGTAAAGATTATTGATAACAAATATTAATAAATGCATCGTAAGTAAATTTAAACATTAATCCTAAAGATATCTAAAATGCCTATATAGGTATGGCATATCGTAAAGTTGTCTCACAAGCATGATTTCGCAATATAATAAATTGATTGGAACTGAAAAGATGGATTTGAAACAATGCATAGACAGGTTTGGAGTAGTGTATGAGAAGGATAAGATTATAAATGAGGAGGAGATGAAGAGTATAATAAAGGAGAGAATTTCAAAGGATAGCGAGGAAATATAAACCTTATTCTTCCCAAACAAATTCTATCGAAACGAATGCTTAAGTGAAAAAGACTCATTGTAAGCCTGCTTTAATAACTAGATAAAATACTTGTACATTCCAATCATTGCAATCGCAACGTTGTAAAATGTAATCCTCTTTACAGACCAATTCTGAGTTATACACTGAAAATTCAGATGAAACTATTATAAATAATCTAACTACTCAGAGATATTTGGAAAAATTATAATTTGATTATCAAAATGATTAAACTTTGCATTATCCAAAGACATTCAAAGTTGAAAGACTACTCTAGCAATCCAATAGAGATCCGAACACCCAAATCTTGACAGATAGGTCTATGAGGATGAAGTAGGAAAGAAGGGCTGAGAGTAGGGCAGAACAGACTCACAATTCAAGATTGGATGTGAAATGTTCACCATAAAAATAACTAAATTTATCGATTAATGAGGATAGAGTGAAGAGATTTGATAATCATTAAGAAAATGAAGTCAAATAGTAGAGGAGAAGATCAAGAGCAGAGAGACTGAATTTATAACCATGATGTTATAGTAATTCGAGAATAATTTGAAATTATTTATATTCAGATTTATTTTTATATTAAATAAAGATTATTTAATGGGGGTGGATGCAATTTTAATCGAGAATGTTCGTGAGAATAGATTTTGATGTATCTTAAGGAAGAAGAGAACTTTCGAAAATATTTTAATATTGGTTTTGGAAGATGATAATATAAATATAGTATAATTAATGTCAAAATCCCGTAGTTAGTCTTCCATACCTGCTTTTTTATAGAAAACCTATGATATTTTAGAAGTATGATAGTTTAAATAGAATCAGAATTCTCAACTCCAAGATATTGTTGGTTGGAATGAAGATGGTTCAGGCTTTTTGGTGAAGAATGTGATAGCATTTCAGGATCAAGTATTACCAATGTATTTCAAACACAGGAATTTCGCATCTTTTGTGAGATAGGTAAATGTCAAGAAATTATAGGGATCAGATGAATATGTATGGATTTCATAAATCAAGAAGTGATTAGAAGGAGAATGAGTTTATTCATCCTCATTTCAAGAGAGATCAAAGGTATTTGTAATTATTTAAAATAGAAATCTATTGAAGAAAATAAAGAGAAAGTCTGGAGAACATGGCGACGATCAGTTTACCATAATGGAATTGAAACCTCATCGAAATCAAAATATTTCAGATGTAAAATAATATTGGATTAATTTAGAAATAAATACAACAGATAATGACCAAATAGTCAGAGTTGGAGAAGGTGTGTAAAATTCTGATTGAATAGAATAATAAAATATTGCAATGCAATTAGTAATTGAGAAACCAATTGGTTTAAGAGAGGTAAATTTTAAATTGATAAGGTTACTAGATGTACTGGTAATAAGAAGTTGTAGAAGTTGAAGGATTATTTTATGGGGTAGTAATAAACATAGGGCGATTGTTTACAAGTATAATAAAGTTTAAAATTAAGAAACGAAGTCTTGAGGATTTAATTTAATCGGACAATGAGGAGTTAATGGTGCCTAATTTGAAGAAGATCAAAGGGGAGGATTCTGATAGCACTATTGACAAGATGGAACAATTATATGGACAACCAACTTTGATGTTAACAAACAATTTAGTTGATAATGATGGTATGATTCAATTGCTCGATGATCATCAATTCAACGATATCTACTTTGATTGAGCTATAATTAAAATGCATTGATGTTAGAAACTAATATTATTTTAATTATGAATTAATAGTTGGGATCTTATGTTAAATTTTTCCATATTATCCGAGAATTAGGAGACAGCAACCAAATAGATGTTAAACAGAAACAAATCCTTAAAGTCAATTTTACAACCAAAGAAAAAAAATTGATGAATATACTCAATGATCTAAGTAATGAGAATCAAATTATTTTAGATGATGAAGATGAAGAAGAAATCAAATATAGTCTCATGAATTATCTAAATGAGGTGCCTAAAGAGAAGTATGAGATACAGAGACAAATGAAGAGAACTAGATCTAGCATTACTGATGTCGATCTTATAAAGGGTGTACAATATGATGAACTCAAATTTACAGACACAGTGGCAGACATGGAGAAAGCCTTAAAGCTAATCACTCATTTTAATAATAAACTAAAAGATGGGTAAACTATCGATCCCAAAGTCAATGAAATTTTCGAAAACATTCGCACTCTTTTCACCCAGACCTCACCCTATAATATACAATCTCCAGGTCTTCTAGGAAGAGGCCAATCGCTCAATTCAGACATTAACTACTAAATTGAATGCGAACTAAGCTAAGCATATAAGGAAGTTAAATGCTAATTTGCTAATTATATGAAGAGCCATCTGCTACTTATGGATGAAACTGTGTCTTATAATACTATTTTCAGTTTACTTAAGGAATTAAGCAAGAATCTCTTGAATTGCGATAATTTTAGTTTCTTTGTCATCAATTCAAATACTGAAATGGAACTCTATCAATCCAAAACTGATAATATGGAGTAAGTACCCATGGATTAATCTATTTAAGATGAATTGGAAACATTCCCAGAAAACAAGGTATTTAGGTTCTCTAAGAATTCTTCTTTTTGTTCCAAATTAATGTCAATCAACTATCTGTCCTCTTATGGTTTATATACTAATAATGTTGTGTTCATCTATCATTCAAAATAGAATAAATAACTTGAAACTTAAGATATTTTAAAGTATCTCCCTTTTATAACTTAGAATTGCAAATGAATACTAATTAATTGATGAAATCAAGAATCTATCCATGTTCCTATTACAAACCATTTAAAATGCTAAAGTTTAATTCTTTAGTCCATTGTCTATTGCTGACATGATCCTGGATCTTGGAATCTCATTCGTCAGAGCTTCTAAGTTTGTTCTCATCGAAAAAATGTACAATATCATCAGCCAAATCTATAAAATTGATAAGTAATCATAATTTAATGATAGATTATAAACAGATCAATAAGAAATTTAAGTTTGGGATACTGAGAGTGTCTACATAGTATTTAAAGATTAAACAGTCACTGTATGCTTTAGAATCTATTAAATGAATCTTTTAAAGCAGAGTGATCAAAGGTTGTATTCTGAAATCAAGCATTTCTATGAGAAGTACCTTCGATTTATTCGTGAATGCTTTGATAAGAGTGCATTCTATAAATTCTTTCTAAGATCAAACGACTCTCTCATTTTTGAATTCGACAAAAGTGGTCACCTCTTGTTCCTCTCCAGACCAATCCCCAAATAAATCAAATCCAATTTCAACATCCAATTCAACTCACTTCTAATTCACTCCAATCAATTATCCTATAATAAGATATTTGATCAAAATGTTGTTTCCAATATTGAAAACTATCTGCAAGATCATAAATGGAAAATGATGAAAGACAATGAGAAATAGTATGAAATATTCCTCAAAATTGAAGAGAAAACATACAAAGGATTTGCAGTCATCTTCACTGAAAATATCAAAGGATGGGTCAAAGAACAATTCAAATAACTAGAATCTGGCAATAAATTGGATTCCAAAATTAAAGCCAAAATTAGAAAATAACTCATTCAACATGAAACCATCAATTTTGTTAATAAATTAGAAGAGAACAATCCAGAAGTCAAAGATTCAGTTGCTTCTTTATATATGCCTTTATAGCAGTTGATTCTAAAACGATCAAGATCAATAAGGGACTTGTAAAATGCTCAAAATGAACAAAAATTGAAAAAGACAGAAATGCCACAAAAATCGAAATTTCTAACTATTTAAGAATGGGACTTAAATGAGTTTTGTTTAGAGAATTAAGATGATCTAATTGACTCATTTGACTTTAACATTATGGACTTAACTTCACAAATACAAAAACATAGGGTTGTATGGGTAATCCTAAAAAAGAATGGACATTTAGATGATTTCCAAATACCCTCTGAAAATCTACAAAGCTTTATTAAAGAAATGGAATATAATTATAATGTCAACAATAATCCGTATCACAATTATGATCATGGTATAACTGTTATGCAAACTGCTCATTATTTCTGCTCTGAATTGGCTCAAACATCGAAATCCAAAATTATAGATAATTTTAATAGGTTCATATTGATGATTAGTAGTTTTGGTCATGATGTTGGACACACTGGCAAAACTAATGTTTTTGAAATCAATAGTTTGAGTGATCTAGCTATCAGATATCATGACAAAAGTGTACTTGAACAACATCATGCTGCATTGACTATTCAGGTTCTAAAAAATCCATAAAGTAACATCCTTGTCAACCTCAATTAATAAGAATTCAGAAATTTCAGAAAAGGACTCATTGCCAATATCCTAAGTACAGATATGTCTGAACATTTCACTTTGTTAAAAGACTTTGAAAATAGACCAACAGATTTCAATGATTGTAAAATTTTAAGTGGTTACATTATGCATACGAGTGATTTTGGAGGGGCAGGAAAAAAAACTAATTTATCAATTAAATGGTCTTCAAGAGTTAATCAAGAATTTAGTATTTAATACAAGTTAGAGGGTGAATTGGGATATCCATAATAACCTTACATGAAGGATTTACATATTGTAATTCATTATCTTATTTATAGCCACATGTCATGGCAAAATCAGAAATAGGGTTCCTTAAGGTCATTGTCAGACCTTGTTATGCATTATTCAGTGAATTTTTGGAAGATAGACTCAAACATTGCATGGCCAATATTGATGATACAATCTAGCATTGGGAGAAAATAGTCAAGAAAGGTGAAGAATAACAATAATGAAAACTATATTTATTTAATTTATATGTTGTGTGAGAATTTAAAAATGTCTGAGAATTTTGTGGAGAAATACCCAGATAGAGTGTAATTCTTAATCATAAATAGTCCCATATTATTATAGATTAGTCAAAGATCCAGACTGAGATTTTAAGACAAAACATCTATTAAAAAATACTTGGTGAGCAAATCTGATCATTTTTATCATTTTCTTTAAGTAATTCGAGAAACCCTTCATTTATAAAAACAAGAAAGCCTCTATTTATTCATCAACAATGCTGGTCTAATCAAGGCAGGTAAAAAATTATAAATTCATTTTAGAAAGTTAAGTTGATGAAATCTATCAGAAATTTAAAAGTTCAGATGGCTTTCTTAGAATTAATTTAACAGAGTATCCTTCTTTTGGAAATTTTTGATACTTACAATATTCATACTTATAATTTTCAATAAAGCAATATTCTATAACAACTAATGCTCATGTATAATTAATAATTTCATTTTTAATTATTATTATGTACATCATTTGATTAATCCACTTTAGATAATTATCAAATTTGAAATTCTATGCTTTATTTCATTTTATGAACATAGAACATCTGTTATATATAATTTTAAACTATTCATATTTACAAAATCAATTTGCTTTTGCAACAATGATATTATCTAAGAAATTTTCTGTTAAATATTCAATTAAGTGTGAAAGGATATTTCTAATTTAGATTTTATAATATAATAAATAAAGGAATTATTGCTTTTTAAAATCAAAATTATGAATTAAAATGAATTAAATTCTAATGATTAAATCAATAGTTTAAGTGCAGATAATCAAATTTAGAAATCTCATAAAAAAAGTATAAATTTGTTATATATTATACTGAAATTTCATTTATTTGAATATAAATTATTTGGAAGATTCAATTTTAGACTTTGTGATTAGATGAAAATTGGAAGAACCAAAATTAAATCAATTAATTAGCTACCATATAACAGAAGTTGATCGCATTTAATTTCATTTAAATTCTTGATTAAATACATAACAAACTCTGGTATTTTTAAATCATTAATTTAATTTGCATTCCATATGGCAAATTCTTAGTTAAAATAGATACATAAATTTCTTCAATCATGGTTTCATCTCTGTATCTGTTACAGAGGGATTTTCTATAGATGTGATAATCAAACATGCAATTTTTATAAAATAAAATAAAAATAATTGGAGATATGAAAAACTAAGAATTCAGAAACTTAATTCTAGAATATCTAAATATAATCTTTATATTAGCTTTTTATTCTATTCAAATGGATATGGATATAAAAAATAATTTAAAATTCTATTTAATATTATTCAAAATAACCTATTTATTTATAAAGGAAAAAACAACTCCAGGTACTATATATCCGTTTCCTTTATAGTTGTATTTTTAATACTTATTTTTTTATTATTTTTAGCATTAATAAAAATAGGATCTTAATAGAATATTTGAGATATTTAAATCTAATTGTTTTATTTATATACTTATTAAATTAAATTATGAAATACTAAATCATAATATGTTAATCTTGTAAAATCAATGTAGGCTTTCTAAATTGTACTACTTGCCTCAAAAATTTCGAGTTAGTTATTTTTATGGGATTATAAATCACATGCCCAGTATGTCTGAAAGTAATATTTATTATTCTATAAATATAGTGTAATTTAGATACTTACTAATAGAGTGATCAAAATTTTTAATTACACAAGCAGTGTTATGGAAATTAAAATAGAATATATTATTATTGTTAATGTTGCAGTGTGTGTATGATTTCTAATTTAAATTTAGGGAATAAGAAAAACAAAATAGGCTCAGCTTAAATCCGAATCCAATTCATAACAACAACTATGATAATAAAATTATAATATTCAATACATAATTATTTTTCAATCAGATATTCTAAGTTGTTTCTTCGAACAAAACTATAATTAAAATCCAGAATGATATCAACATAGAACAAAATCCACGATCAGTTCTTTAAGATGATGCATTTTTATATTTTAAACTTAAAAATTTGAGAGGTCAAATACTTTTAAATAATAAATAATTTTGACTTTATTGAGCATGGAAATACAAGGAGAAATATAAGTCTAAAATAGTTAAATTCAAATATTATATAATTTTCATGCTTTAGGTCTTAGAACAAGGTTTTCTTTATATAAATCCGCATGAATTTATCTTATTCTTTAAGGGGGTCCTTTCGGATTGACTGTTTAAACTAATGAATATAATTAATAGCAAAATACTTCTTGTTCTTGGGGATAATTGTCTATCTGTCAATTACTAAATTGGAATTACTGAGTCCTCATTGGTTTAAACCTAATAGGAATAATAAAGTGGAATTACAAATTTGGCTGCACAATTAAATTATTCTATGTGAGATCCAATGTCTTCATTTGATTATCTACATGATAGATTTTATTGATCTGGATTTCTTGTAGAATTTAGCATATCAGTTAAATTAAAATGTATAGAATCTGCTTCACTTTTTTATATTGAAGATGGCAATAATTTAATTTTATTGACATGACCCTAACTTAGAGCATTCTAGAAATCAATTTAACATTACCTTGGTGTGTCCAGGTTGATGTGAATTATGAAAGTCGTTCGAGAAATTATTTTTTTTATGTTTAATTTATTTAGGCGTTGAATTTTTGACCTCCAATAAATTAACTTAACTAAGCGCATTTTCATAATATTTATTTTTGCTCTTTTATCTGGTCAATTAAGTTTATACAGATTTTAATTGCTATTCTTTTTTTAATGATTCTTCAATAAGTATTGATTATTTCCTTTAAAAATCATTTTTTAATTTCAAAGCTACTGCTTAACATTGTTCTGTAATTTTCTTTTCATTTACTAATTTTTTTGATAATTCAGTTTTTTATTCAATTAATTTATTTTCCTTCTCCTTTAATAGTAGATCAAGCTATTTAAGTTGGTTTTCCAATTTAGCATTTTATTCTCTAAAAATGATAGGATTACTGATTACTTGTATTCTTAGATGTTCTTTTCCAAAATTATTTTATCCTATTCCAATTAACAAATTTTTTATGCTTATAATTGTTCTCTTGCTTAGCTTGAGATTTGATACTAATTATTTTGTATGATAGTTTCGTTATGTACTCTGTTGAGATCTGCAACTTATTACAATAAGCTTCTTTACTAATTTATTTTTAAGAATTACTGCTTATTCATGTGATTAACTCAACTCTTGGATATGCTTTTATTACTTTTCTTTTTCTTTAATTTCCTAATCTAATTCAAAGGTAACTTATTTAAGTTTTAATTTAAGACAATTGGAATCCTTAGAATAGGTGGTTATGCTTACATATTCCAGAATTGACTTTTGATTGCTTAATGCTTCTGAAAATTCTCTGGCCAATCCTTCTTTCTAAATTTCATTTTATTTTAGAATTTAAGTAATTTATAGTTAAAAGTCAGTGCATTAATAGCATTTTCTGTAATAAATTAATAATTATTGATACTTTTCCTTCCTCTCTAATTCTTCATAATCTTGAATCAATTGATTGTAATTTTTTTCTAATTTACTGAATTCTTAGCATTTGTTTCGATACTAAATAGAAGTATAAACTTACTTCATATTCTAAAATAGTAATCCTTTCATTAAGAAAAGTCTTCAATTTGGAAATTTCTTACTCATGTAGTTAATTTAATAATTGTATTTCTTTTCCTTTGTCATGGTTAGATATATCTCCCATAGCTTTCATTAATGACTCATTTAGTTTTTTTAGATTCGTCTCCCTATCTAGTGCTTCCCTAAGTTGCATTTCCAATAAAACAGATTTATCCATTAACTGTTTAATATATATTTTTAAATTCTAATGCAAACATAAAATTATTATATCGAATAATTGCTAATTTAAAATCTTAATGTAGAAATTATAATAGAAGATGTTCAGTATTAGAAAAATGCTCTCCAATCGTTGTCCTTGATTTTAGAAAATTTAATTCGATACTACTTATCTGAGGTTTTCAAAAATAGATGGGAATATCAGAATATCCATAAAATTGGTTTCTAATTATAAAATTATTTGTAATGAGAGTGTGGAGACTGTGAAAGAACAGGAAAGATATTTTCTTAAGGGGTCTTAGTAAAATTAAATTTTTATAAGTTATTTAATATTTATATTAAGAAATGGACACACCAATTGGCAAGGATCTCACAAATCAAGTGATTGGAAAGGTTTATAAATTAGTAAAACGAATTGGGAGTGGGGCTTTTGGAGAAATATATTTGGTGGCTAAAGGGAAAGAGGAATATGCCATGAAACTTGAAAGAAGTGATACGAAACATCCATAAATATTTTTTGAGGCAAAGTTGTACAACTACTTGCAAGGATCTGATCCTAGTGATAAAGGTATTTGAATTATTAACTCAAAGCCAGGAATTCCTAGAATATATGCTTAAGGCTAAGACGGTGATTATAATTACATCGTCATGGATTTACTGGGCTAAAGTTTGGAAGAATTATTCAGCAAAAATAACAAAAGACTATCCCTCAAGACTGTAATTACTACCATCTATGATTTAGGTGATGATGTTGGCTGATCAAATGATTTAACGGATTGAATACATACATACGAAACAGTTCCTCCATCGTGATATCAAACCAGACAACTTTCTAATTGGTTTAGGTAAGAAGGCTACTCGCGTCTACATTCTTGATTTTGGTTTGGCCAAGAGATATTTAACTAAGGAGGGTCACATTCCTTATAGAGAAGGCAAGAGCTTAACCGGAACTGCTCGATATGCTTCTGTAAACACTCATTTAGGTTTGGAATAATCAAGGAGAGACGATCTAGAATCATTGGGATATGTGCTTATGTATTTGCTCAGAGGGCAATTGCCTTGGCAAAACATGAAAGCTAATAATCAAAAGGATAAGTATTAAAGAATTATGGAAAAGAAACTTGAAACCTCTCCAGATGCACTTTGTAAAGGATTTCCAATTGAAATGAGTCAATATCTAAATTACTGTAAGAATTTGAAGTTTGAGGACAAACCAGATTATAATTATTTGAGAGGTCTTTTTAAAGTACAAATTATGAGTATTTAAGGATGCATTTAAGAAGATCGGTTTTGATTGGGACTACAAATTTGAATGGATCAAGGATGAATCCCTTGTAAAAACATAATAAGATATCCAATCTGAAAATAAATTGATGATCATGACTTAGCCATTACAATAACAGCAATAATAGTAACAAGGCATCAAACCAAATGGCATTGAGTCTGATAAGAAGATTGGAAACACCAATAGTCATCATCTTAATTCCACTACACAGTAACAATCGGGACAAAGAAGACCACAATAGCAGACTAGCAAAGTGTCACAATAGTTATCAGTTGAGAAAAAGAGAACTACCTCTTAAAATAAATAGTTCATCTAATCTAAAGAGTTGGTCAAACCTGTTACTTAAGTGTTAGCCCCTAAGATTGTTACTACTAAAGAACCACCTAGAAAATATTGAAAAAAACAATTACATTATAATAACAATAATATTTATGATAAATGAAATTGGCACTTCTGAAAATCTAATTAAGTAGGATCAAATAGAGATCTAATTGAGATAGGTTAAATTGAATTTGCTAGATGAACAGAATATTCAAATATAATTAGCGATTGTATCTAACCAAAATGAAATGAAATAAGTAACAACAATTGAAAATATTGAAGACAGATAGATCTATAAACTAAATTATGATGCACAAGATTAAATTCTATAGATCTTATTGCTTAATGATGGTAAATAATTAGGTTTTTCGAATCAGTTATTAGAAACTTTATTTACTAAACAAATTAATGAAATTAAGATAATACATGAACAAATTGTCGTTGGGGTTTTGAGTATTTAAATCATTAAAAGCCAGAATGAAACCTAAATTGATTCTGAAAGACTAAAAGAATATTTGAAATAAACGGGATTAGAAAAGATTTTCATGGTGATTTTCGCAGAAATACTCTAATAAAAAATTGGGATAAATGATGTATACAAATTTGCTGCTCGAAGACTGAGGGAAATTGGGTAAAAAATCTTAAACGAATAAAAATAATGAAAAAGAGGTTAATGATTTGAAGATATAATACTTATTTATAAATATTCTCATTGAATTAATCTTGCTAGAGCTTTAATTTAAATAAATGTAAATTATTGCATAATAAATCAGATTGGTTTCATGTTAACAGTTCCATCCTTGCGAATATAATAAGGAACATGTCGATTGGAAAATCTTTTTGCCTTAACGACAAATTCATTTAAGACTAATGGCTTGATCCATTCTTTTTTGATCTCACCTAATCTATTTTAATTAACATTAAAAGATTTACTTTTAATTCCCAATTACTCCATGATCATTTACTGGTACAATTATCAACACGAATTACCCTCTTGGAAAATGTGAGGACACTTCTTTAATCTGAATTTTGTTGAGTCTTCCTTATCCTTCTTTAATAAAAGCTTGTTAACAGCCTTTATAAATTGATTCCCCTTGATTATTGTGCGATACCTTTTTTGGTAATTCATCGTAAGTCCAACTTAGAATTTATTATATTATCATACATCTCCAACTCTACAATGATTTTGTTTTAATTAATGCATATTTAGTCTTGATACATGAGATTGAATCGTATTGAGAATATTCGATTTCTGTAGCATGGCAATTCTAAATCTTCAGATAACTTCAATTCGTATTTGTACTGGTGTTTCAGAATTAGATCCAGGTAACTGACTTAGGGTTAGATCTGATAGTAATCCAATTTACTCACGAGCATTTAAAGTTTTTCTTATTGTTTTAAGAGTTTTTCTATGACTTTTTCATTGCTCTAATCAATCAATTTCAATTGATGACAATGATTCTTGATTTATTAATTAACTTGTGCTTGCAAATCCAAAAAGTTATTTTTAGTTGAAAGCAGTAATTATGGTTGTTCCATTTATTTCTGAGTTTGGGTATTTTGAAAAAATTTATTAAAATTAAAGTTTTTAGTGTTATAAAAAACTTAAAACAAAAAAAGATTTAGAAATTATCTCTTAAATGAAATTGATTTATAATCGAATTAATTTAGTTTATTCTAAAAATATATATGATTCAAAAATTGTTAAACTAGTTGGGAATATTTATGATTTTGTAAATTTGATTATTATTTATAAATGATAACTAATCATCCCTCCTATCCAAAAAAAGAGATTGATAAATACTATTTGCAGACCAAATTGCCAGAGTATTGACTTTCTTAATGTAGATATCAAACAGTTCCTCCTAATGAGCCTCAAAAGAAAACACATGACTATTATAATGATAACACCCACATTTGGAACAATCCACATCAAGCCAAATCAAATGCAAAGGTATTCAAATAATTAAAAGAACAACACGACAAAGGTGAGAAGAGAATAAAGAAATTGCAAGAAATTGAATACAAAGAGAAATAAGAGTTACAACGCAATAAAATAATATACTATAACATGGCAAGAGAAGAGGATCTCATGCGATTGCAACAAAGAAAATTAGAAAGAGGCAGTCTATAAAACTTATGTTCATAACGCAATGACGTCTAGGTAGACTCCATTTCGGTCAAACCAATTCTTTCAAGAACAGCATTACTGGGTCGACCAGACCATCTCTGGAACAAATTGAATTAACAATCCTAAAAATATGTTAATTTGCTAATCAACCCCAAGATATTGCAAATGGAAGAACAAGGAGTCAAAGCAATTAGTGAAAAAATATAAAAGGATTTGGAAATTGAATAAATCAAAGAAGAATTGAGGTTGTAAAATATGGTTCACATAAAATAATCCAATACTCGCAGAAGAATGACCAATCTTGAAATTGAATAAAGAAGTGGAATACTCCCTTCTAGGTTAAGTATGTAAAGAGTGACTACTGCTTAAACCAATTCCAGACCACCAAAAGATGTTATCGAGTCCACTTTGCAACAATTAGAAAATCAATAGCAGTCCTAAACTCTTCAATAATTGCAAAACTAAATTATCAATTCTGCTTAATGCAATCAAACTAGCAGACCATATACAGTTGGAAGTGTAATAACTATCATTATTATTAGGACTTTAATTCCATTTCCTTCAATGTTGGATAAACTGCTAAAAATGAACAACGTAACAATCCTCCTCAAGATTAAACCACTCCCATTTTTATACTTAACAGGTATTAAATATTATAATTATTCAAAGCTAAAAATCAAAATCGGTATCTACTCTTTCTCATAAGCATCCTCTTGATAGAACTGAATTTAAAGGCTTGTTATTAGCATAGGCAGTTGAATAAGCAGAAAGTAATTTCAGCAAAACCCTCAAAGTCAATAGTACTTTACTCAAGGAAACTTCCATTCATTTTGTAAGAACCAAGTAATCGATGATTCCAAAAAAAAGAATTCAGATCAAATGCAATAGAAATCTTACAAATGAATAATCAATTAATGATCAAAATGATTTGTAGGTTGTAAACAACATGTTGGACAGTTTTGAAAGAAAACTATATAGACCCAACAATTTAGATGATGAGATATTATGATACATTTAGTATTCTTATTCTATTCATTTATTAGTATATAACAATATGAATTGATAATTCTTATTTAGTGAATAACAATTTAAACTATAAATAGAAATATATCACACAATTTATTCATTTTATAAATATTATTTCATATTTTAAATACACAACATTTTAACTGATAAAATCTAGGTATTTTATTAACATTATCTAATTTTCATTATTATATAATATGAATTATATTCAAAATTATGTTGAACAGTAACAATAATTAAAAATTAACCTAAAAAGTCACTTAATAATTGTGCAAAATTAAATTTTATAATCAACTTCTAGATACTGATTTTGATTCGTAGTATCCAAAATCTGAAGGTAGTCTATATTAACCAGGTCCAGGAGTTTGCATACTGGATACCGAGTAAGTCTTTCGGATATCGTGAGGAAAACTTCTACATTTACTAGAATGCAAATTAGATATAGGATAGAATCCAGTCTATTAGGATGAAGTTTACAAGATACCTTTTGAATTCCTATATTGTCTAATTTATAATTTCCTGGTCCTGGAACATCGTTACTGTCTATAATTAATAGAATTTTTCATTTACATTATTTATTATCAAATCTCTTAGATCTGGGAGGATTAAAAAGAGTGGCACAACTATTGGAAAATTTAGAAATTGGATATTTTCCTTTAGAATCTATTCCTTAAACAGAGTTATAAGCTCCCGGTCCTGGTATATAAAAAATGTAAACCTGGAACATTTTTAGTGAGAATCATGATATCTTATTAATTTTTTGGTCTCATCGTATATCTTGTTTAACTGAGAGTTGATTGACTCTCATACTTCCCTGGTCCTGGAGTTACTTTATTCAAACCACCCATAATTCCACTTTACCACATTTTCTAGAAATAACAATTTCGTTTTACATCTCTACTTACTCCAAAGGGGAAGCCACGATTCTTTGATTTATTGTTATCCAATTCTCCAACTATCCTATAGGTATCAGGAGCAGGAGTCTTAGGTCCATTTTTTGTAAAATCATATCTAGAATATTAATAAAGTAATTTTACTTTGTTGAGTATCCTACGCCTGCAGATCTCTTTTCCTTTTGATCTGGGAGATCATAAAAAGCAACTGCACAACTATTGATTAAAGACAAAATTACTTGTTTGGATTTTCTAATTTGCCAAAGCGACTACTTTTTGGGAAAGACCAGAGTTGTTTGGCTGTACTTAGATTGAGAGGTGATTGACTAATTTATTGGCATGTAGAGGCAGTGATTGACATTTAATAAAATTAATAAAAGTAGAATTATAATAAATATGGTTATAAAATGAAAGTGTTAATCACAGTCTCACTGGAGATACTTATTTAACAAGTGTAAACGTTGGATAAACATACACTTATTTAGGTTGTTATTACATTTGAATACTCCTTTGAGGAGTTTGAGGTAATCGTTTAATGTATTATTTATTAATTTGAGGCTACTTTTATTAGAGAGATTAGAATAGTTAAGTTAGCATTTGTTTTTATTCTGCCAATTCTTACCTGATTTCTTAGATATACTTAGTATTTGGATCCTCTTGTTAGATTTAAGTACAGTTACCATTACATGAATTGTAATTAGAGTCATCCATTTTTTTTGATTATTATTTTTCGAATGATGTTTGTAAATTCCTTTCTTTAACAGTATTGTTATGCGAAACTAAAGAGATACGGTTTTAGATGTTTCCTAATGGTAAATCATTTGCCTCTTACACTTTTTGAATAGATTATTTTAAACTCAGTGATTTTGTTGAAAATCCAAAATTTTATGTTTCTTATTTTATATTTGGTTTAATTTTAATGCTGTTGAATTTATTAAGTAAACTGTTATTTCTATTTTTATTATCGCTATAAGAATTGGGATAATCCACGCTGAATTTGCTTGGTAAAGTTTTTTGAGAACTTAAATATTGTTATTCATTCTCTTCATTCTATACATAAAGAGGCTTGATTGTAGATCTACGTTCCTCACTAGGGGAAGATCTATTTATCTCTTTTTAAACAACTTCACTTAAGCATTATAAGTTTTTATTATTTTATAGTATAATTGATTTAGTTCTTTATGCAGTAGTTGATTAGATATCATTAAAAACTGTTTTCTTTTATTTGCAATCTGAATTATATTTTTATTATTAAGCTTCTAAAATATTCTTTAAAGTTAAGATACGATCATTAGTTTATTATTATTATTATTATTATTATTATTATTATTATTATTATTATTATTACTATTTAATTTCAAATTATGATTATGATCTCTACTAATTATAATCATTATTTTTCTTGATTTATAATTTATATTCCTCATTTTACTAAACTGCTGTTTTTCTCGAATTTTTTAAACTTGGAATCTCTAATAAACCAAATGAAATCTTATTTTCAAAATATTCCTCTGTAGGTTAAGTTTTAGTTCTTGATTACTGAGTATCAGTTTTTCTATAAGTCTAATCCTCATCATGCTAATCCAAAATGACCTCATAAATCTAATTTTGTTAATCAAGACTTTATGTGTTAAATTAACATTACAGTTTCCTGATTTCCTCCACAGATTTACTTAGATTATTTGTATTAGTACTATATTTCCTCAAAGGGGGCTATTATTAGTATTTGATTTCATTTAAAGTGTTTACACGAAGCCTAACGAATTGCATCACTTCAAATAACCTAATATATCCGATTATAATTTCCTTTGAAATTGGAGTTACTATGTATTGCTAAGTTACTTTCGTACAATATTTAACTAATAAAGATATAATGATGATTTACAAACTAATTCTTGCGGAGTTTCCATTTATTCCAAATAACCACTACTCTTGATCTCCACCAATTGCCCTTAATGGTATTTCCCTTTCACCCATTGAATTCGTTAATCCTTGAATACCATCATCCCATTTCCTTGATATAATCCTTTTTGGAATTAGCCTTGATAAATCTCATCTTATTAATCTAACCTACCCAAACCATTCAATTTCCCATCAATGAATTATCCACATTAATAAAATAAATTGGAAATCTCAATTCCCAAACCATTTGGCAGATTTGCCTTCCCAACATTTCCGTAGTAGATACAATGATTAAACAGCTATATTTATAAGTCTCCTTATTGAAGTTTACTTATTGCCTGTAATACACGATCAGCATCATTCGTACAATCATGAGTTATCTAAGCACTTGATGATTGTATTGTGATTTTTCTCTCTCCTTCCTAAATGAATATAGCCTCTCCTTTGTCGAATTAACTATAGAACACTCTAGTCCCAACCTTGATTACAATTTGCCCATGAACAACTCCTTTTTTGAAACCTCCTTAGATGATGATCTATCCCCCTAAAAATAAGATTCCCTATCCATCAATCAAATCGTTTTTCCACTCTCCATAATAAGCAGAACCAACATCCCATAAGTATATCCCTAGCCCATGTTTTTGTTATTTTGCATTTAATCCTCCTTAATAAATTCCATCCTTATGTTCCTTCATCCGTTAATATAAAATATCAATATTTATCATCATAAGATTTAATAATTTTAACATACACATAAATTATGACCATTCTCAATTTACATTAAGAAACATGAGTCTTTTCTATTCTCTTATGTATGTGTATTTATAATAATATAAATGATGAAAGAAATTTAGTAAAAGAAAATCATAATATTAAATAATTGAAAAAGTCTAAATGCAAATCATAGGAAAAATACCTGTAGAGATGAACAAAACCTTGGATGAGAATTATGTAATGATCAAGGAACTATGCAAAAATGAAATGTGCAGCCAGATGATGAATACTTTATTGGATCAAGTAATTTGAAATTAATATCATTAGAAACAAGCATCTCATATTCGAATACAATTTCTATACAATATTCGACAATGGGATTAGAACTTATGCTTATCTGATTTATGCATCAACTAATTGGAGATTAACATAACCAACAATATCAAATATGTATTCAAATTACATTATGATAGAGTACGGGTAATCATTAGAACAAATACTGAAATAAACAAATTTGCTGAATATGAAATAGATCTAACATTCTTGTGAATTTATGAGACCTATTCCAATAATAGTTACTCATTAGAGTTTGGAATTTATTACAATCGATTCCACCCATTTAACTGTTTGGGATTACAATATAACTCCTTTGATGAGGTTTCGCCATTTACTGTCTTAAGCCTAGTGTACGAAACTCTAATAAGGTGATCATCAACAGATTTTGAATCTATTCAAACCAGAATATAAGATTGATGGGAATCAATTTAAACTTTTGGTTGAATAGAATCCATAATTAGTTAGTGATCTTATTAAGAAATTGCATCAATTGGGCATTAATGCTCATGAGTATAATTGAAAATGATTACTTAGATATTTGGACTAGTTAATTTAGATAAAGATCAGTATTCAGGCCTTGGAATTAGTGAATTAATTATCAAAGAGCATAAATCTGCCAGATTAATTTCTTAATACGTTCATAATCAAATGCATAGAGAATTGCAATGAATTCAAGAATGTAAGTATAACAGGATTGATTATTTAGAATCAACCTTTGTAATTGGCTCGATAAGTGAGATTGGTGTCAGTGTTCATCAGAACTTTGATAAATTAGAAGGCATTTGATCCAAAGATGATTTATGTAAAATTACAAGGGTTTTGCTTAGAGTTTTCATCAATTCTGGAGGCGACTCAATTATTTAAAACTATAAAAAATTCAGTTCAAGAATAATAATGAGATATATATATAAATATACATACCGCCAAATATTAATTAAATATGCGGAAACAAAAGCAGAATTTGTTAGATGAGATCGAATTGAAATTTAACGTAGAATGGGTCAGGAGTCAAAAGGAGTTGTTGGCATGGGTAGCTAATATGAAGGTTATTAGTACTTATGATGAGAGCGAAAAAGAATTCACTGCATTATTAGTTTACGTGATTACTTAGAATGGTACTATAGTAAATTATTTTAGGGGAGTTTCTCAAATTGATGTATGATATTCCTCCTTATTTCTATGTTGAATGCAATCAAGAGCACATTACTGAATTGGCTATGCATTTGGAGAATAAATACGAAAAATAAATTCTAAAAGTTGACATTATTGAAAGAGTCGATTTGGATAAAGCAAACCATTTAATAGGGAAAAAGGAGAAATTTATTAAATTATAATTTCGATTGATTTAAGACCTCGTCTAAGTTAGGAATCTAATTAGGGCTAGATGTGAAAAGAACCGCAGGAATGTTGACGAAAATGATATGCTAATCAAAAAACCTTCTACATCAAAGGATATCTAGGATTAGCTAATAGGAGTCAGAGAATATGATGTACCCTATCACTGTAGAGTATGTATTGATACAGGGTTGAGGTGCTGCAAATGGTTCAAATTTGTGCTAAAAGAAAGAAGAATAGCAGAATGCATAGAAGTCAAAGAGATGATGAGTATGCCTGAATTAAAATATCTCGCTTTTGATATTGAAACATATAAGCAACCACTTAAATTTCCAGATGCAAAAAATGATTAAATTATGATGATCTCAATCACTCACAGTCAAAATAGTATCCTGATTACTAATATGCAGACTTTAGGTTAAGAAGTTTAAAACTTTGATTATGCTCCAAAACCTGAATTTGCAACATAAGCAATCATTTATAATCAGCCTGATGAGAAATCACTTTTGCTTAAGTTCTTTCAAGTCATTTTAGATTATAAACCGAATATTATATCATCCTTTAATGGGGATCGTTTTGATTGGCCATATATAGAAGAAAGATGTTTAACTCATGGATTTTATTTGGAATAGGAAATTGGAATTAAAAAAAATGAAGAAAATAACGAATATTATGGTAGATACATTATTCACATGGATTGTTTTGCATGGGTGGAAAGAGATGCTTATCTCCCTTAAGGAAGTCATGGGTTGAAGGCTGTGACTAAGGCTAAATTGGGATATCAACCAATCGAAGTAGACCCTGAGAAAATGGTACCTATGGCTTTGTAGGACAGTTAATAATTTGCAGGGTATTCTATATCAGATTCAGTTGCAACATATTGGTTATATAGAAAGCATATACATGATTTTATTTTAGCACTTTGTACAATAATTCCATTATCACCTGATGAGGTTTTAAGAAAAGGGTCTGGCACATTATGCGAATGTCTATTAATGGCATAAGCATTTTAAAGAGAGATTATATTCCCTAATAAAACTACTACTTTGTTGGAGAGATTCCACGATGGTCATTTAATTGATTCTGAAACATATATTGGTGGCAAGGTTGAATGTTTAAGAAGTGGAATATATAGAAGTGATATTGATGTTGAGTTTAAGATTGACAAGGAGTGTATGCAATCAATGTGGAGCACTGTGGATAGTTTGATTAGGTTTGTTGGCAAGATTGAAAATGAGACATTTAGTGAAGAGGAAATAGAAAAGTGTAGTGAACAAATAAGATCAAAATTGGATGTATTAATAAATAGAGGAGAAGTATTCAAAGAAAAACCACTGATCTATCATTTAGATGTTGCTGCCATGTATCCGAATATTATTTTGACAAATCGATTATAACCTGTGTCAATTGTAGGTGACCAAATCTGTTCATAATGCTATTTTAATTAGCCACAAAATCGATGTTAAAGACAATTGGAGTGGTAGTGGAAGGGTGACTTCTTTCCTTTGAAAAGAACCGAATACGAATTCGTAAAATAATAGTTGGAGTAGGAATAAACAGAAAAAGAAAGGAAGGAAAATGAAGAGAAAAAAAAATAAATGCTAAAGGAGGGATTAGATACAAGAAGGTTATAATTGAAAGGATTTAGTGATCTGGCTCCAGATGAATAAATAAAGAGAATTAAATAGAGAGTAATAGAGCATTGTAAAAAGACATACAAAACCATTCATCATCATTCGGTAGAACTAAAAAAAGATACAGTTTGCATGAGAGAAAACGACTTCTATGTACAAACAGTGAGAGATTTTAGGGATAGGAGATATGAATTTAAGGAGTTGGTAAAAGTGTATAAGAATAAATTGGAATAAGCTAAAAAGGAAGGTGTTGGAGTAAAAGAATGTCATGATTTCATGGCGTTATATGAATCCTTATAATTGGCACATAAGATCATTTTGAACTCATTTTATGGGTATGTGATGAGAAAAGGTGCTCGTTGGTATTCAATGCCCATGGCTGGTATTGTTACTCATATGGGTTCTCAGATTATATCAACCGCAAAGTAGAGAGTTGATTAAATAGGATTGCCATTGGAATTGGATACTGATGGTATTTGGTGTTTGTTGCCTAGTGGATTCCCTGAAGACTTTTTAATTAAAAGTTAGACAGGTAGGAATTTGAAGTTTAGTTATCCTTGTTACATTCTCAATGAATTAGTATATGAAAAATATAAGAACAATTAATATCAATGGTTGAAAGACCCAAATTCTTTCGAATATGGAATTAGAAGTGAAATGTCTATCTTTTTTGAAGTTGATGGCCCATATAGATGTATGATAATTCCAGCAGCCAGAGAGGAGAATAAGCAGTTGAAGAAGAGATATGTTGTATACAATAAAAATGGATCAATTGCTGAAGTCAAAGGGTTTGAAATCAAAAGAAGAGGAGAGTTATAGATTATCAAACAATTTTAATAGGAATTATTTTCAGAATTCTTGAAGGGTACCAATTTAACAGAATGCTATCAGGCTTGTGCAGAAGTTGGTAAGAAATTGTTAAGAATACTAATGACAGGAGGAGAAGGAATATCGTAATAGGAGTTACTTGATTTGATAGGTGAAAGCAGAGTACTTTCAAAGGAAATATCCGAATATGATAATAAGAAAGGAGTAGCAATAACAGCAGGAAAGAGAATAGCTGAGTACTTAGGATCCGATTAAGTCAGAGGAGGAAGTTTAAACTGTTAATATATCATAACAAAATTACCTCATAACACTCCTGTTAATGAGAGATCAATTCCTTTACTCATCTTTGAATCTTCTTTTGAGACTAGGAAGAAGTACTTGAGAAAATGGCTCAAGGAACCACAATTGCAGGATGAAGATTTAACATTGTCTAAGATAGTGGATTGGGACTACTATATAGAAAGATTAAAGAATACCATCCTAAAATTATTAGTGATCCCTGCTGCTTTGTAAAATATTGAAAATCCTATTCCTTAAGTAGAGCCTCCAGAGTGGTTATTAAAAAAATTGAGAGAGAAGGCCTCAGGACTCTAGCAAACAAAGATAAATCAATATTTCAGTTAAATCAACAAATTGGCACATCAATTAGCATAATTTAAATTTTAGCCCATGGATATTGAAGAAAATAAGTAATTATCCAATAAGAAGAAACTTCAAATCAATGAGGACAATTAAAAGCAATTACATAATCAATATAATATGGAAACAGACTTCAAAAATTTCCTCTAGGTTTAAAAACAGATTTGGACAAAGGAATTTAGAAATAAGTAATAGAATAAGAATATTAATGGAAGAGGCAATCTAAAGAATATGATTAAGTTTAATAAATAACAATTATTAAACTCTGTTTGGTAGGTATTATAATTTTATGAAGTTGAACCAGGTTTGTTTTTAACTTGGATCCTTCTAGAGAATGGAACATTGACAAGTGTGTAAATTCAAGTTGATAGAACTATTTATACAAATCAACTCACAAAAGAACCTGAATTATAAACTATTAAGAAAACCTTGCCAAGGGATAAGAAGGTTCATTATCTCTACCCTTTGACTATGGATGAATCTGCATTTCAATTAGAACATAAATAATTATTTCAATACGAAGCCAATCCAAACACCGAGAGTTTATACGAACATAAAATCCCATTAATTTTCAAATTAGTTACAGAATTAGGAGCTATGTGCAAAGTTAATAGATAGTATGTTTAATAATAAAAAAATGTATTCAAATTCGAGGATTTACAAATCGTTTACGAATAACCTAGTCAATAGTAGTATTTAGATAGATTCTAAAATTCGTTCTATCAATCTTCATATATCATACTTCATTTATAATTATAAGACAATTTTGGAGTGTGGTCAGTGTTCTTTAATGATGAAGTCTTGATCATTATTGTAAGGAAATCTGAAGAAAAATTAAATCGTTAAGACTTAAATCAGTATATTAAGTCAGTTCAAGAATAGTTCGAATTCAAAAGGAAATAATTGAACAAAAACTTCGAAATGCCAATCCCTGAAAAGAATAAAATCACTGTTCAATCCATGTAATTATATTGAATCTACTGTTCTAGGAAAGATGACAAACTCGCAATTGACTACATTTCCAACAATTTTGAGACCCGTGGTCAAAGCATGAAGTTATGTATTCTACAAAGCAATAAAGAGTTGACCTATTTACAAAGTTAAGGCTTACAATTTTTATGTCTTAAAGTACTACTGTATTGTTAATTTATAGATTCCTACTTTTTGCATTCCAAATCTTCACAGGGAATCCAGAAAAGAATTTCAATGGGATATCAACACAGTGAAATAATAATTAGAAAGTTATTGTAAACTTAGGGAAACCATTGCTCAACATATAAAATATTGTAAATATGTAAAAGTCCCATTATGCAATCTTACTGCATCAAACTTAGGGAAAACAGATGTTTTTAAGACAGATATTGAGATGTTAAACTATACAACTGATATTTTCTTCCAAAGAGTACTAAGACAGAAAACATCTTGTTTATCATGGTATGGCAGTGGTTTAGGCAGAGACAATAGAGATCTAGTTCCTACTGAGTTCACTAAGACCTACTTTGATAATCCTGGGATTTATATTGGTTACACTTGTGAAATTGATATCCTCCATTTCTCCATTAATACAATTGCTTAATCAGAAGAAATCAAAAATTTAGACAAAGAAGCAAGTTAATTGGTTGGTTAAAATGGTAAATCAGATATGCTTGATAATTTGGATGAACTTGGAGGCGCCAAAATTGCATTTAGATTATTATAAATGTTAGTCTCCTCTTGGTTGGATGATATCTACGCTAAAGGAGAAAAAGTCTCAGATGATCATATCCTCAACATCAATATATGGATCTATTCAGGCTTAAGTCCTCTTTATGACCCATACTTGGGAAAACTGTTAAATAGACTGAATTTTAAGTTTTTCAGTATACTTACTAATAAATTGAAGGAATTTGGTATAAAAATCGTTAAAGCATCTCCTACAAAATTGCTACTTTATACTGGGAAATAACAAAAGGACATGGCCAAATCCTTAATTGAATACATCATTAACACATTTCAATAGTCAAATCTATTTAAACATGTAACTTTTAAAGCATAAAAATTCTTTACTTCTCTCATCTACAAGGATAAACATAATTATCTAGGGAAAGATGTTGATTACAACACTGATGATGTTGACTTCGATTATAAATTAAAATTATAAGACTTTTTGCCACCCATATTGTCCTCACTTTTTGTCCGTTTGCTTTTTGAAATTTTACTTAAAGTGGAAGAACTTAGAAGTAGTCAAATCGAAGAAATCAATATATTACCTACCAATTTACAAATCTCGAGAATTACTAATTTATAAACTGACATTATCAATCTCTTAGTATAATACATTAATAGCTCTTATTCTTAAAGAATATATGATATAATAATCGATTAATCTGAGAAATACAAAAAAGAAAAATAAAATTACGAAACCTATTTAGAATAATAATAACAAACTGTGGCGTTGACAGGTAAAATGAAGAGGTGTAATATTGAGGATGATGAAGAAATGTAACAAGAAGTACAAGAGGACTACGAATAAGACTCATTTGTAGTTGGGGATGAAGACTTAGATGAAACTCCAAAATAAATAGAAATTGAAGAAGAATTAGAATTTTAGGAAGATGGCAAAGTTTCCAATTTCCCTAAATTATGGCATCTTAGAAGTGCTCTTGGCTCTAGAATTGATTTGGAAAAGCACGAATAAGCCATACTAAGAACATTTATCTATCTCTGTGCAATCTTGAGTGTAGATGAGGAAGTACATCAATAAATGAAAAGGATCAAAAATGTTTGTTGCAAAACAGTTAAAGTTTCTGAATCCTCTAAAGAAGTAAATCATGTTATCATTCTAGGCTGAATTTGAAGATCCATGTTTTGATTTGATCTTGCAAAACGTTCCTTGTTATTAGTGCTATATGGTTTAAGAAGTTAATGTTTTCAAGGATATATGGAAATGTGAAGGATGCAAAAATGACTACGACCTAGACACCATGGAAAAATTAATATGCCAATTTGTAGAATAATAATTGTTATTCTATTAAATTCAAGATCTGTATTGTGTCAAATGTAAATAAACATAGGATTATTCATTCTAAAAGATGTAAAAATATAATTTCAACTTTAGTTGCTCATGTTCTGCCTAATTTTAATTAAAATCTGATTAATTTGAAAAATGCTTTATCAGAACACCCACATATTTTTTTGATAGTTTATTATAGTTATCAATAGAGAAGAATCTTCATGGATTAAAGACATTAGTTTCCTCAATAAACACTTGATTTTCAAATTATTGTTATAATATATGTTATTTTTAGTATATATTTTATGATATTAAATAAATTATTGCATTAAAGGCTTAAATTATATATCCTACATTAATTCAAATACATATGTATTGATAAGAGATATAATAATATTTATGGTTTTTCAAATTGATGAATATCTTGATGATAATAATTTTATTATAATTAATAGATCTTAGATTTACTTAATTTCAAATTCAATTTAACTTGATTGGTTCAACATATGATCTGTAAAAATTATTTCTAAATATTAAGTACAGCTGCATATTTAAAGATAAATAGCTTAAGTGATTAGATTTCTATTTTGTTAAGTATTTGGAATTACAAAACCACATGCAATTCTTGTTTTTTCTTCTCATTATAATATTTCATTTTAATTTTTTAAAATATTTAATTTCTATTCCTTTTTGTTTAGTCAAAATATATGAAAAAAAACGCAATCCTTATTTATTAATATTAATTCAACTTACACTTAAATAATATGATTATAATCATTAATCAATTTAGAAAAAAGATGCTTGGACTGGATAAGGATTAAAAAAAAATAATTTAAAGAAAATAACTATTACTATATAATTTTGAATTAAACATCCAAATTATATGCCTATAATTTTATGCTCCTTTTGCTCTACTTATCATCTCATGGTACAACATTACTATTTGATAATGATTAATACTTTTCTTTATTAAGCATCACTTACGTATGTTGGATTAATTTTACAGGATAATTGGTTTTTCTTAATTTAAAAAAGAAGTCAGATGATTAGCTTAAAATAAGAAGTTTAAAAAAATAGATTGAATTGGTATTTGTTGATTTCTTTGTTTTGGAATTGTTTATGAAGATTAAGATTTTAATATTAAATTATTGCATTTTATAATTGACAAATATCAAGATATCTTTAAGAAATTCTTGATTTAAGAATGATGAGTGTGAAAAAAATTTTTAAGTAAGATTAGTATAAATTAGGATTTAAATATTAATTAAGCTTTAGTTGATTAATTATATCATTTTGAAAGAGCCAAGATATTAAAAAGAAATTATTTAACCCATACTTAATTATCGGACATGGTAGCGATTCTTTGTAACCTATAATTTTACTATGAAATACCGTAAGTGTACCTGATTTATAAGTAATAAAAAGCTCAGAATAGTAAAAAGTATAGCTAAGAGTTTAATATTTCTATTAATAGTCAAAACACTTAAATGAAGTAACTATTTAGGATTATGAACAAAATTAAGCTTGTTTTGAATAAAATCAATTTATTAAAGTATTTGAAGATAACTAAAAATCATCTGAATGTAATTAGCATGATACCATAGAAAAAGTCAATTTAAATGTTTATACTTTAAAACATTTAAACTCGTAAAATTACATTCAATATCTACTTGCATATTAATTAGCATTTCATCATTTAATTAGATTTCGTTATTAGACTTACATAAATTAGCAGGTATTCTTAATAAAAACATTAAGAAAATCTTGACATCATTAGATAATTAAAATCTGCTATCGCCAAAGTTATTTGCTTGAATTGAATAGAAACCATAAACTCCAGTCAATATTATTTATAAATTGAAGGTATCATCATCATCTATTCACTATAAATATCTTAAAAAAGATAATCAAGAGGATAGCAAGAATATTAGATAAATAAATGCTGAAAACCTTCTAAATTAAGAAAAATTTAAATTAATATGTATATAAAATAACATTATATAACAATATAAAAATACTTGTACTAGATTATTGTTTATAAAAAACTATTGATACTTTAATATTGAGAAGATCAAATAATATTGGATTCTAAGAGATTATTTTTATATGTTTTGGGTCTATAAATATTTCATTAAATTCGTTCAAATGCATAAGGCTACAATTTTATCAATCATCTGATCCTTTTCCTTTTTCTTTCTTTTTGATCCTTTAATTTACATTTTTTTCATTTTCTTATTGATCTTTATCATTTCTGACTTTGGATAACTATGATCGTTTTCTTTATAGGCCCAATAATCAATTAGAAGATTACCTTAGTAAACCTCATAAGCCTTGTATTCGAATTGATTCATGTTTCTATCTTTAAAAAATTTAATTATTTTACAATAAGGAAGTTAAAGAATTATTTATTCTAATAATAAATAATGGTAGTTGGATATCCAATTATAATGGATACTTTAAATAATTTAACTTGTTCGGAAAGATGAGAAGGATGATGATGTCAAATGCTTGATTCAAAAATACATATTAAAAGTCAAGGTTGAAGTAAAATGTGACAATGAGACAAGAAAATAAATTTTAAATATGAATATAAAATTCTTTATTTTGTTTACATTCTGTAGCTAATTCAAAATTCTAAACATAAAAAATACTCAAGGAACTGAAGAAATCATGATCAAATAATATATTAAATTATATTATACAAATTTTAAATGCTCATTTATAAAAATTAAATTAATTATTAAAAGAACCCTTTGGCGATTATAAGAATTGCTATTAATTTGGAAAGAGTTAGTCTGGGGTATATGGCGTACGAAATGTATTCAGTTGTTTATTGAATGATTAACTCTACAATTCAGTTTCTAAATTTCTAATACGGTTGTCTTGTTGGATTAATTATTCCTATGTGGATATTAAGTATTACTCTTAATTTAGTAACTTCAAATTCTAATTAGTTATTTCTATCTTGGAGCATTTAATTTTACAACTTTATTTAATGATTTTCTATATAAATAAAATTATCTTTTACCCAAATTTATGGTATCGACCTATTTCTCATATAAAATCAAATCATTGTGCATTTCTTTCATTTTTGTAAAATTATTATTCAACTCATTTTTATTTAAAGAGTCATTTTGAGAGTACTAATCAAGTTAGCTTTTTAATGTTTAATTTTGTTAGTCTAAAGTAAAAATGATAGCATCTCTTTTTTATAATTCCCCTTCCATAAGCTAGATTTAGTTTTATTGCTAATCTAAAATAGTTTTCATCTCAATCTATTTATGTTAAGCTTAATTTATGCTTTGATCTAAATTCCCTTGTTTCTTTTTTAATTCTGATTCAAGGAATTAGCATTAATGAATCAATTAATCTTTGTATTTTTGTAATTGCTAAATTTGATCAGATTGTTTCTTTATTTCCTGTTCAGCAATAGCAAGCTTCTATTATAGACTTATAAATTCCTATTTGCCATTCTTCAAAGTCATTGCTAATTTTTCTATTTCTTTTTATTCTAATGAAATTAAAGACTAATTAATTACATAATAAATTTTATTAGTTTAGGGTTTGAATAGACTCTTCTAATTTCAATACTTAATTTTTTGTACTATAAAGTTCTTTTTCTTTATTTTCTAATTACTTGACTTATTATTTTTATAATTCAATTTGATGTGCCTGATTAGCAAGAGTTTTCTAATAAGTACCCACTTATCCTTAGAGTTCTGTAATTTGTAAAGTTGATCTATGCAATTAATCATTTGAATTTTCTTGTTATTTTTTGAGTTCGAAATTTAACATGTCCAAAGTTGTTTTCATCTTTTTATTATCTAAGTAAAGTTATTCCTATTGTTCTCGATGCTATTCAATTTTAACATCCTTTTCTCTCAATTACTATTTGTAGGTTTCTATGTATTCCTTTAAATTGCTATTTTCATGTTCAGCGGAATTAAGATAGACCAGTTACCTTTTTTAATCTTAGACTTGATCTTGAAGATCTTTGATTTATTTATTTAGTTCATTGGATTTAGAGGACAAAAGATTGTAATCTTCTAACTTTTTTTAAATCTTGTCCATATCAGCTAATTTATATTGGCATTCTTGAAGAGCTTCCTATTTTCTACGAACTTCGGATTTCAACTTAACAATCATTTCCTCCTAATAATCAAATTTGGCTTTGAGTTCTTGCTCAATCGACTTTTGGCTTTTAAACGATTATCTAAAGGATTAGATGGAAAACTGAATACAATTCAGATTGAAGTTAGTCGATAACTTTTTTTTGTTGTGAATTCTCATTCTATAGCTTTCTCACTTGTGATCTAGGTAGCTTAATTGTGTTACTTTAAGTCTTCTCCTTCTTCCATAAGAAACTATTGCTTTTCAAGAAGCATCTGTTCTTAAGGATTCATTTAGTTAATATTGTAATTCGACCTAAAGGATTAATCTTTTTGGGATTGGTTTGATTTTATTCTAAATGAGTAAAAATAATTTACGATTATCTGTCATTTTCCATTGTTTGGGGATGTAAACTAAGGGGGATAGAGATGAAAAAATTACAGATTAGCTGGCAGTAACGTATTGAACGGTTGAGGAACTGGAGTAGGTTATTAATTTGTATTATTGTCTTTTGGTCTTGTAAGAGGACTGGGAGATGGAATGTCTTTCTCTTTCTGATATTCATTTTATGCAACGTTTTGATAGGAAAGCATTTATAATTATGCACAAATTTATTACAAAAATTTCTAATTTTCATTTACAAGAAAGGAGCGAAATTCATTATTAATTTAATTAAAATGTCTTAAATTGACCCTGCCTATTTCGAAAGACTCAAAGATTAGCTTAACAACCTAAACAGCAATAATGAGAGCTTCACAGAAAGAAACATCTTTGAAATTCGAGAACGTTTAGGCCGTATTTCAGAGGAAGTACATCAAGAAAGAAATAGAGACAGCAATCATGTATTCAATCTATATAATTGCTTATAGCAGGTCCTTCAAAATAATTAGAAAACCTTTGTTGACAGTTGTTTGAACTTTATAGTATATGTCCTTCAACATGTTGAACCTTAGACAACTCGAAACACAAAATTTTTAATCAGAGCTGCCATCTTGGATTTATTATAGAAAAAGATTCTCTTATAACACATGACATTTCAAGTTGTCGAATAAATGACTATTGTATTAGAAAAAGACAATGAAAATAATGCAGCTGTAGCCATCCGCATAATTAATGATTTACTAAAGTCGAATCAATAATAATCACATTAATACTAAAGATCAAATACATTATTTTCAGATTAGTTGTTATTGAAACTCTATTCTATATTTGAGTAGCGGATTGAATTCTTGGTTAAATTTAATAATGAACTTAAGAAATCTCAATATAAGAAACTTTTAGGAGATAATCAAAATAATCCTTTTTGGGATCAGAATTATGTTTTGTAATCAGATATTGAAGATAAAAGAGAGAAAGATATAAGGCTAAATATTTTTAGTTTATCTTTTGTAACTAACATACCAACATTTTTCATTTACACTATCTTTGTTCTAGACTCTATAGTGAAAGAAGAAGTAATAATCATTCACTTATTATGTAGACTAAAACCCAAATGAGAGAAATCTTGAAGAGAGCCTTGAAAACAATGAACTAAGTCATTAATGAAACCAATTTCTAAGACTTATTGTAGAAAGTCCCAAGAAATATAGTGTAGGAACTTTTTAATGCCTATTCTAAATTCTTATAATTGCTTGCTCTTACTATTAAAAGGGATGACAATCAAATGCAACCCTAATCAAGAATCATTAAGGATATTTCAGACACAATTAAATTAGACTCAGTTGTTGCCATTATCATTAAAACACTCAAGCATTGTCCTGTAGATATAATGCATCTAAGGATTGATATCAGTAATCGTCTGAAATAATCTATAATTTAAAAAAGGGATACCATATAATAAAATGATATGACTGAAAAAATAAATGAAATAAATGCTAATGTGGCTGAATTGATTGATGAAGAAACAATTGTTGGTAAGAATCTAAAAATTCCACCCTATCAAAAGACTAGCATATATCAAAATTGGTTAGATATTGTTAAACATGTAGTTTAAAGCTATCTTCCTAAGTGTGAGCAATAAAATTAACAACCTACTAACTTGGAGAGGATGCAAAGTGATTTCATAAATAATTAAACATATATGGAAAAGATTTTCAATACCATATTTAAAGTATTATTTGATTCTTCCTTGCAAATATCCATTCATGAGAAAGCTTTAGATTTAATCAAAGTTTTCTTGGACTTATTTAAACAATAAAACAACTATTTTATTGATAGGAATTTACTCTAATATTACATTGATTAACCTCAACAACAATAATAATAAAATGATTCGATTTTCAAGGAAGTGACAACACATAGTCCAAAGTACAAATTGTTGGATAGATTATTTCAGATGATTGGAATGAAATTAGCATAAATTAGAAAGCAAATCTAGTAAATAAAAGAAATGCTAAACAGAACTTAGAAATGGGGAATTATCAAAAAAACTACTTCACAAACAAATGTTTCATCTATGCCATGTAACAATGAACCCTTGAGTGAGAGGTACATAAGTCAATTGGAATAGTATATTAAGGAGAATGAAATTGATATTGATTAAAATCTTATTACTTTATAAGATTAAGCAGCTACTCAAGTTTATACTTACGATGATGAGGAGGAGTATTAAGTTAATTCAATAAGCATCAATTCATATAGTTAATTTATTGAATATGCTAAGGAAGTGAAATCAAAGATATTTGATTAGTTGAATGATATTCTCTAGAAATTACTTAATTTTGTGGCCTTGACAAACAAGGAAATAGTAGCTAAATACAAAAATAGACAAAATGGCTAAAACTCATAAAGATTAGCCCCTTTAATTTAAGCGACTAATGAATCCAGACCTTATTTGAGCAATTTGTAATGTCATTATATGTCAAAGATAATGAAAAATGGGTTGATAATATTTGATGAATTGCATGATCATCAAAGAAACCATTTTGAAATTTTGGATTATAAAAAGAAAACTATACCTTAATTTATGCAATTCTTCATTTAATTTTAAGATCCCATCAATTTTAAGAATATTTTTGAACCAAATTCAAAATTATTGTTAAAGATTTCAGTCAACTTAATAAAAACATGCCCAGAAACACATTGTCTCCCATTATTATTGTAGGATCATTTATAGATATTAAATCATCCGGATAACTAATCTTAACCTAAATTATCAGTGAAGTATTACATAGAATTTTTATTAAATCTGTATTTGAGAGAATTGCAAACGACTCCAGAATTGCCATCTAGATTTGGATATTGTAGAGGTGGCTAATTGATACAAATGAGCAATCAAAAAGGCTAAAATGTATCATAAAAAGATTAAGATGAATACATATCATTAATATAGAAATTGCTAAGAATTCCCATTAGATTATTTCCTAGAGTGAAATGCTAATAAAATGAAGAGCCTATTGTAAAACCATTGCTAAAATAATTAATATTATTTTTTGTTAAGAAATCACATGAAACATATTATCCAATAGACTTTTTAGGTTTATTGTTATCATTAGTTAAGAGAATATAGAATAATGACTAAGGAGAGGGATTATCTAAATATTTTTAATAATTATGTGATAAATATGATCGAAATGACAGATAATAGATGCTTTAAAGATAATCGTATGAGATTTATCATAAATTAAATTTGAGTGGAGTCAACATTGTTTTGAACATGTTTGAGCTATTTTAAACCGGAATAGTAGAGATATAGGATATTGTTGCAGAAGTGATAGCTAATTTTCCATTACAAAAAACAATGCAAATCAATTTAGCTAAATAGTACCCAGTTTTTGCTTAATGTTTGTTTAGAGCCTTGCATAATATATCTACAATTGAAAATTAAGTAATTCAAAAAACATTAATGTTATTGGAGAATATTGTAACTAACTTGAGTATGGAAGAGATGAGAGAATTCTTTGGGGATCTGCTTTAACCATTCATTGAGAAATTGCTTACTTTTCCATCAGAATATAAGATGGCAGACATTTATTCTAAATAAGTCAATTTATTTTTGGATCCTTCATTCAAATCCTTAAAAATTCTGTCAAAGTTGGGAGCTTTGGTACGAAAATCAGAGTGGCCAATTGAAATTAAAAGAACTCATACTGATAACCCGTTCGTTAGAAATCAATATTTGGAAGTGCAAATAGAGGGATTGCAAACTAATTTGAAGATCAACCTTTCTGAAACAGTAAGATGCGCAGTGGAGATTCTGCAGAACTTTTTGGAATAGCAATTGGCTACATATTTGTTTAAACAATCCTCAATTTAGCATAGTTATTCAATTGTAAAGATGGTACTGTTGGGGTATTATTAAATGCCTATTTAATTTGATCATGATTTATACAATTATCAAATACCAGAAGGTATGGCATTGGATATGAGATTGCAGTCAAGGTCATGTGAGTAGGATCTATTGATGTATCAAGATGAGGAATTAATATCAGCAGTAACAAAGGTGTTTATTGGTTTGAGCAATTTCCACAATATCATTTAGACTCTCACGACAGCCACATTCCACAAGCTAAAAGAGGATGTTGAGAATGTTGTGACAACTCTATCTGAAATGTTTTTCATTCAATTAGCAGATGATCATTGCGAATAGATTCAACAACTCAAGTAAACCAAACCTGATTTGAATTCACTGTATGCCATGACAGAGGATATCGTAGCCAAATATTTGAGAGAGAAGCCTCAATCCATTAAATGGCTATCTCATCTCTTCAAAGGCTTAAATAAGAGGTACATGCTCACAGCTGAGGAGAATATGAATTTCAAAGATTTCTACATTCAGCAACATGAGTTCATCTGGATTAAATTACTCATGGGCAATTGTCTCAAGAAGTACAAGAGAATATTGAATAATCATTTTAAAAAAAACAATGAAAATATGGCCTGGGCTTATAATGTCTATTACACAGTGGTTATTCGTTTGTTTGAGGAGTTTGTGTACGAGAAGTTTGGAAAGTAGACACAACTACAGAAGGAAGATGATCGTCGTCGGAAAATACAAATAGTTTAATGTAATTATTTAATAAGAAATATTCTTAGCTTATGGAGGAACAATGATTCCATCTGAAGGATTGAATTGCAGATCAATTTCGATTGAATTACTTACTGAAATCCAGAATCTTAGACCAAAATTTAAAGATTATTACACATCAAATCAAATCTTAGGTTTACCATATATCCCTGATCAAAGAATTGTAGAATGCTCATTTATTTTACTAAGACAATTATCTGAAACCATACGAGTAGTATCGTAATAGCTTACCAAACATTTGTTATTTTAAACATTGAATTAGTTGATTGAGAATCTAAATGTGGATCATTCAAAATATGCTCATTCTCATTAGAGTATCCTAATATTATCAAACAAATTAAGGGAGTTTGTTAAAGTCGTTGCAGAAAATTGTCTTACCTTCAAAAAGTCTTTACTCCAGATTTGCACTGAATTATTCGATCATATTATCACCAATTATTATAAGGGCAATGCTGGTCCCCTATTTTACATGAATATTGGAGATGGAATGAACCCCAGGTTTGATGAATAAATTAAACCAATCCCTTTAGATGAGTTCACTGGAGCAAACTAATCCTAATTGTATTG